AAGGTTATACGCGAGGCAAATGTGGACAGAAATGACACTCTGGACACCAAACAACACATGTTACTCTCCTACTCCGATGACATCGACATAATTGGTCGAACATTGCGAGCGGTAAGAGCCACCTTTGAACAAATTGAGAAGGATCTATAGGCCGATCTGCATCGACGGTGAATATCGCCATCGAATGAATCATGAGTTGTACCATCTGTTCTCGGACATTGACATAGTCAGACGGTGGCTAGGTCATGTTGTGAAAATGGCTGAGGATGCCCCAGATCAAAAGGCATATACAAGTGAGCCGGCTGATGTTTCACGCACAAGGGGAAGGGCACGAATTCGTTGGAAAGATCAATATTTGGAAACATGGTCTTTCAAATTGGAAGAGCTGCGCACAAGACCAACTCCCTGGAAATCTTTTTTAAGCTCGGCTTATTGAAGAAAAGTTCTGTTTCAAGCCAGCTAAGTAAGTACTGGATGTGTAATGACGATATAAGTCGGGAGCTTCGGATATCAAACATAAAAATTGATTTAAAGGAAATACCATTAATATTCGTCTATAAACATCTGAGCTAATATTTTTGAAAATTCATTCACAATTCTATGAAAAGGAAAAATGTTAGTCAAGAAACTAAAACATTTTTGGGTCGGTGCGGGACTACAGTCATCAGTTAGGAAAGTAAGTTATGCATAGAATAAAATCGTTGCACATAGCTGAAGAATAACTGTGAATATTGTTGTTGTAGCCTGAGTGCAGATTATTGTTAATTCTTTGAAATTGAGTCTTTGGGCCTATAGAGTTCAGTTACTAAAAAAAGTGATATGGTGAGGATTTCTATAGAATTTATGAGGCCCATTTTCACCTTGGTGACTACGTCAACAAGCTAAATTCTCGCACATGCGGCTTGGAAAACCCAACAGCTATTGTCGAAAAGCCTCTCCATCATCAATGTGTAATTGTTTAGTGCGGTTTATGACCCGAAGGGGTCATTGTCCTTTACATTTTCGAAAGTATGATTGTGAGTCCTGTTTGAAAAATAAAATATACGCAAAAAATCAGGGTAATTTTAATACCTTAAAGAATTTGTGAGGCTACCGAGGGAGGAGATATTTCCAAAATTTCATAAAACAAATTAAAATTCAAGAAGAAAACATTGTGAAAGATGAACAAGCTGGCTTCAGGCCAAATGGAAGCTGTGTGGGCCACCCCAAAACCCTGCGAGCTTCCGACACCGTCAAGCAAACTGTCATACGGAAAGCATTGAGAAAAAGGGAGTATCTCAGAAAAAAAAAAACAAAAACAGAATTAAATGGTAATGTAGGAGGATCTAGAACTCACAGTTCTCCGAAACGGAAACATAAGCCCTGCCATCCTTTCCGATCACAATCGTATTAGTTGTAAGTCTTCTCTCAGAGAAAAGGCATAACATGGAGTCTAGATTCGGTTATGAGTATGATATATGTCTTCCCACTCACAAGCTATCCAACAGATAGTAGCTGGGCCGACTTTACTGAGCGCAGGAAAGTGAACCGAATAACATCAATCCATGCACATGACTTTCTGGAACCTATGCTAAATTTCATTCGGGTAGTTTTAAAGTCCCTTCGGCACAATGGGACAAATTTATGTACATCGAATTATAACACACCTGATATACGATATTCGGTATGCCGCAATCAGACACCCGTTCGAAATATATATTTATCTAAAATCGGACGAAAATATATATGTGGAAGCTATATCTAAATCTGAACCGATTTCGACTTGCCAGAGATTAATTTATATTAACTTCAGTTCATTGTACAAAATTGAGTGGCAATCGGGCAAACTTTGGGTTTTTACTGCACATTAAATCGAACGAAAATATATATGGCAGCTATATCTAAATCAGCACACATCATTCTAGACTTAATTCAGTAAGCTATGTCAAATTTCGCACAAATCGAAAGATATATAGGTTCTTTAGTACACCATTTACATAAAATCTGAACCGATTCTCACCAAGCTTAACAAACATTATTTCAGACTTTATTCAGTGCGCTATGCCAAATTTCGCAAAAATCGAAAGATATATGGGATAATTGGACGAACATATATATGGCAGCTATATGTAAATCTGAACCGATTTCCCCGAAACTTGCGACCCATCATTCTAGACCCAATTCATTACGCTATGCCAAATTTCGAGCAAATCGAAGGATATAAAGAGACTTTGGTGCACTATTTACCTAAAATCGGACGAAAATATATATGGGAGCTATATTTAAATCTGAACCGATTTTCATGAAATTTAATATACATCGTTCTAGACTTACTTCAGTACGCTATGTCAAATTTCGTCCAAATCGTAGGATATATAGGGACCATGGTGCACCATTTTCATATCTACATCTGAACCGATTTTTCGAAATTTTAATAGGGTTCGTCCTTGGGCCAAATAAATGAGCTGTGCCAAATTTCATGCAATTCGAATAAAAAAGCGACCTGTACTTTGTTTACAATTTAGCATGGACAGACCGGCGGACGGACTGACATGCATAAATCGACTGCACAAAGACATAATACCCTTTACCACTGCGTGGTGAAGTGTATAAAAATCATCTGAAGGATAGGACCATTTTTTTATAGGACAATTGGATGACTAAATATTCCTGGCATAGATGAAAAATTGTCTGAGTCAGAAGACTTTGTTTTGTAAAAATATCCTTAGACCTAGAAGACTATTTTTTACTAAAGATGGAATTCCTCTGGCAGAGGTCCTCTGTAGGAGAGGTCCTTAAAATATAATTATTCTGACCAGAGGATTATTTCTTCTGTAGAAAAAAATCTAGTCCAGAGAATGTAGAAAAATATTTTCCGGCTGATCAGATTATCTTTCACATCTGATCATCCGGAACCTTTTTTAATTCAGAGAAACTTCCTTCCATTTAAAAAAGTTTTTAGTTGACGTTTTTGGACCATTTAAGGGAACCCCCCATTCTCGATTTTTTATTTTTAAGATTTTAAATGGGCTGGTAAATGAATACCAATGCTTGTTAAGGTTTGTAACTTTGCACATATATATTTGAAGCTTTAAAAAGGAAGAAAAATAATTTACAAACAATTTTTGTTATAGTTTTGTTGTTGTTTTTTGTGATCAAAGAAAAGTCCTTATTTTTGATGGCGGGCATGATAACTTCTCACTGGAACATCGGAATGCGAAAATTCCAACGGTGTTAGAAAGAGTACATGTCTGGCTCTCGTATGAACTAGGATTATTGACTTCGCACAAAAATTAACAAAATGGCGGAACTTTGAATTTTTTTTTTAGAAAATCGCCTATTTTTTACCACAAACTAAGTTAAAAAAAATAAGGAAGTTCTTCACCGATTGGCTTTATCATTGTTCATGCGAGAGCTATACACTCCCAGAGATACGTGTCAAAATTTTGGACCGATTGGATTATTAGTTTTTGAGTTATCAAGCCCGCCATTCGCAAAAGAGAACAACACGTTTATAGTTTGAGAAGCCCTTTAGTCGTCACGTGATGCTGACACAATAAATCGGCTATGTCTTCAATCAAAAATGTTTGACCCCGAGAGTGGGAGGGGTTCCCTTAATTCAATGCATGCGAAATTTCTTAATACATGCGAAATTTCTTAACGATCGGTATAGTAATGGTTGGGTCTAGGTCCAATATTTCTCGGCGTTACAAAGTCTTGAGGCCACACAATGCCCTAACAACATAGTTATGTAGGGTATAAAAAAGCCTCTGTTGCAAATGGATATTGTTTGTCGAAACTTCCTCTAACCCATCTTGCTAATTTGATCTTTAGAAACATCCTCGGACCTATACTACGAATTTTTTTTATAAAAAATTCCTCCGATCCATGTGAAATTAGTTCTCTGGCCCAGAGAACAAAGACAAAAAATTCTACCAATCCAGAGGACAAATTGTTCTCTATGGAATAATAACCCATCTAGATCCCAAAAAATCCTACTTTAAAACACTGTCCATCTATTCAAAATATCTTTTTGGCTACACCATTGGCAGTTTTAGGTTAGCTGGACATGTGTTAGGGGGTAGTGTATTATATATACATTTTTTTGTTTCATAATGAACTTCAAGGTAGTTATTGTTGGCGCTTTTGTTTGATGCTGGTGCTGCTGCTGTTGTTGTTTTTGTTGTCAATTTTTATGGTTTTGGTTACATGGTTTACAGGACATTGGTCAAAAAATGGCAGGAAATAAATAAGAAGACAAAGACAAAAACGTTTGCACAGGACAACAAAAAATACTATGTGTAGCATAAAATTGAAAACGACAAAAAAAAACAAAAAAACAGGATCCCAACATAAATACACACACACACCCAGGCAAACACATAGAGACAAATGTTTACAGGTGATGATCATAAAACACTCACTCATCAAAAGGAGCAAGTGGAGTAGTAAGCCATCAGTTGCCAAACCAAAAACCGTTAACCAAAACAAAAAATCAACAACAGCAACAACAACGACATAAGACAACAACAACAAAATGGCAACATCATAGCCATCATCCATCCTCGTGGTCATCAGCCAACGATGAACGACTACAAAACCGAACCACAAAAAGGGACGTTAATAAGAAGACAGCACACCAAAGGTAGTCATATTTCTAAAGCAGAACCAGGACGACCACCATCAGGAAGACTTTTTTTGTTTGTGCCGCTACACAGCCGGACAAGCAAAAGACTGTCACTCAAAACAGTTGGAAACAATTGAAGCCATACAATTGTCATCATAAAACTAGTTAACACTTTTTAACATTGAAAGCTGAGTAGTAGTAATTAATGAAGTGTAGAGGAGCTCTGACGTTGGTGGTGCTGGTCGGGTGGCTGTGGTCTTGGTTTTTGGTGGTGGTCTTTTTCATTTGGAACAATTTTTATTTTTAAGGATTCCTCTAAAAATGCAATGAGATAATACTTTTTAATCTGATTCGCTTTTGTTTTGTTGTCTCTCTCTCTCTCTCTCTCTTACAGACATCGGAGAAACTGAAAAGCTGTGGCACCATGAAACGTGTAGAACCTCATCAGAATTTCGAAGAAACGATACAAAGGGTAAATATCCACAGAGCATAGCATAACATTAAAATGAAATTTTAATAATTTAATAATAACAAAACAAATGCATACACACACAGTCATTCGGAATTATCTGAAAATGAAATATGAGATGGAAAATCATTTGGTTATATATTTTTTTGTTGTTTTTGTTTTGCTATCGTCCAAAAAGTTAACCGCAAACAAAAAAATAATGGAATCATTTTAAATAGGATTAAATGCTACATCAAAGTGGCTGTCAAAAACATATTTTTGAATATTCACCATTTGTAATGGGATTTGAACAATTCACAGAAATATATACCCTTGCGGTGGCGGAGAAAGATTTTTATCGTCGCTTTATTTTTTTAATTTAATTTTCTATGATTTTAAATTTTATTTTACTCATTTAATTGGGAATAAGTAATATAAAGAATAATTTCAGTCGTAATGAACCTGTAGTAATACAGGTTATTCAAGAAACAATAAACTTTTCAGAAGTGTCCATTATATAACACCAAAATGGATTATATATATTTGGTAATGATATAAAATATAGTTATAATGTTTAATACACTCATCCTTAAACTAGAATCTTGAAAATGTTCATTCAGTTTTTGCGGAAATTAGTCCAACAAATGGGTAAAGTGTTGAGTTCGACTGTGGTGTACCTTTTTTAGGTAGTTCCACATATACTGGATACCGGATATATATAGCAGATACCGGATACCGGTATTTCCAATAATCGGTATATTGGGCCATTTGGACTCGTAATATGTTATAATTTGGTATTTTGGGTTCTCACTGGGTAGGAAATGTTCCCACTAAAAATGATCAATATAGGCCCAATATAACGGTAGCCTAAAATTCTGTACTTTGAGCATGTTGGGCACGTTTTCAACATAATTGTTGTACTTATTTATCTTTCGAGATGAGCTACTATATCGATGTTGCAATGAAAAAGAAAGTCAGAGAGATGCTACTTTCGCACGGTATAACGGTATCTCCCACTATTCAGTAGTTTGCGGCTTTTGGGCACGTTTTTCAAACTAATGAGCTGTAATTCTGTATTTTTGGCTGCACTGGATAAAATATATCCCTACAAAAAAGTTATCAAAATTGGTACACGTTTTAGGGTAGCCCCAATATAACGCTATAACCAAAATGCGGGTATTTTGGGGGCGTGTATTAAATAAATTGTTTATAATTTTATACTTTGGATTCTCATTGAGATAAAAATTAACCTACCTATTTGTAAACTTGGGCCAATGTTAACCCAACGCTTAACGCTTAAAAGGGTAACTCCAGTGTTCGGTATTTTGGGGGGTTGGAACACATGTTCAACTAACATTGTCTCTAATTTGATTTATCAGGTTTTCATGGGGTGTCAACTCTTTCAACTAAAAATTATCAATATCGGTTTACTTTTTGGTATAACGGTCCAACCAATATTTGGCATTGTGAAGTTTTCGCCGCATCTTTTGTGTCTGTTATTGGCTATAAAGGGTTCTTGAAGGCTGACATATATCCGAACAAGGTCTCGCAGTCATATATTTATACGTCCATAATTGTCTTTTGTAATTAAATTCCCTCTACAGTGAGGGCTTGCCGGGACACCAAAATGTCGTTGGAAAATTCCAGCTTATTATGCAGCTCATCCCTTACATCAAATATTCCATTTCGGACAGGGTTTCTCTTCTGACATTTTGGGCAATTCATTTTTCACGTCGTCGCATCGCTCAATTACATAATCGGCTTCATTGTATATTTCTTCTAAGGCAAAATGATATATTCTGGAGTTCTTGGCGTAAATTATAAAATGTTCTCATCGATGTGGCTATAAATTGGCATATCTGATACCAGTTTAATAAAAAAACTTCTTTCCAGAAATTAATCAATATAGCTTAAAGTTTTAAAATAACCTTCATAAAAATGTGCCCAATGTTACTATATTGAATCGCCACTAACATTTCCAGGGCTCTGTTACCAAATCGATGCAAAATTAATAGATGTATAATATTTAAAGCCGTGGGTAAATACCTGTGCATTTTCCCAAACATTGGATAAAAACTTGTTTACTACTAGGGATTGGGATCGGGAATTCCCGTCCCGGGTATTCCCGGGATTTCCCGATTTTTTTGAAATCGATATTCCCGGGATTTCCCGATACTTTTTCCCGGGAAATCGGGAAATAATATTTTTAAATAAATATAAATATAGAATTAAATATTTCAATCCCAAAGGCATAAGCAGAATGGATCCGTTGATCCATCTGTGGTATTATTTGTTATCGATAATACAACAACTACATATGGATATTTTAATGTGTGTTTAAGTGGAAGATACTCATTTAAAAACGGATTTATATAACAAGTAGGTTCAAAATTCGGAATATGATTGAAGAAAAATTGCTGGAATTATGTTTTGAAACCCACATTGTAGCAACTGGCGAACGACATAAGAAAATGTATTCTTAATGTCCTATAGAAGGGTTCTTTTGCTGGAATCATACCATACATTGTAAGATCAACAAACATCCATCGACCATTCAATTTCAAAGATATTAAAAAAAAAATAAGTGACCGACGTGATTTAAAATTTATATACATAAACTAAAGTTTTGAAGAGACCCAGATAGTTTGGGGAATACGGATGTGCCAAAAAAGTAGCAATGAAGTGGAATCTTGTCATCTAGTAGTGATAAAGGCACTCCAAAGGTATACATGTTTTTAAATTAAATTAAAATGTTCGCAAAGTCAACCCCTATATGATCAAAACCTTGCCACAGTAGTTTTTATACCCTACACAACTATGTTGTCAGGGTATTATAGCTTTGTGCAGCCCCAAAAGTTTGTAACGCCGCGAAATATTGGTCCTAGACCCACCTTTAAGTATACCGATCGTCATATCTCGACCAGCTGAGTCGATCTAGACATGTGTGTCCGTCCGTCCGTCTGTCCATTATAATTTGTAAACACGATACAGGCCACAGTTATGGACCAATCTTCACGAAATTTTGCATGTAGGATGGGTTCTGGCCAATGAAGACCCCTACTGTATTTGATAAAGATCGGTTAATATTTAGGGGATGAAATGGACCAAATACATAATTTTTGTCAGTTTTTCTGGTCGCTCCAGAGGCCGCAGTTATGTTCCGAACATCGTGAAATTTTGCATGGAGAAGGGGATCGGGGCTAAGAATAAGCATGCCTGTTTTGATAAAGATCTGTCAATATTTAGCGGGGACCCTGACTTTTGTGTGAAAAATAACAACATTTTTATGCTGGGGCGTATATACTTGCTCCTGAAGGGCATATACTCGAGATCTTGATAATATGTCCAAGATGAGTTCTTGACCTTCAAATTGATACCAATTATAAGGCTGTATGTACTCCGATGAGGGAGTTATACGTAATTAAGTAAAGGTGACTATGTGCATATTATTACTATTACTCCATTAGAGGACGAAAATGTCGCGCTGATCGCTTTGAAATTGTACATCAAGTTCCGATTATGGTCAAGGACGACGCTTATAGTTTTCGGTGAAGTTGAGATTTCATTCAGGGGGTGCAATGAACATAAAACTTTAATTTTGTCAGATTTTCTAGTCGTTCTGGAGGCAATTATTATAGCACAACATCACATATTTTACAAGGTGAAGGGGATCTGACCAAATACTTAGAGCGGCTGTTTAGATGATGATCTGTCAATTTTCCGAGGGTCAAATCAACCAAAACCTAAAGTGACCAATTTTTTATTGTATGGCGTAAAAATTCACTTCTAGAAAAAAAAACATTTTGGAAAATATGCAAGACTTAGAATGAGGATTTGTTGATCTATAATCGTTAAAAAGGGTGCAAATATCATGAAATATTGCCCAGGCTCAAAATACAGAGCCATATGATATAGGGTATCATACGGTCGGCCCCGTCCGACTATACTGCTCCGCTCAATAGCTTAAAAATAAATAAGTTTTATATAAAGTGAGTAAAAGTCCATAAAAATGAGAGAGTATTTTCAATTGATGGAAACTTTTGCATCAACATAAGAAGCAGTATATCAGGCAACCTGTTTAAGGCACAATTGTTCATATGTGTTTTATGTGTACAAATAGTTCTTAATTCAATATTTTGCCAAAAACATACTAAAATACTCTTATTTAAAAAAATAATTCTTAATTTTTATACCCTACACAACTATGTTGTCAGTGTATTATAGCTTTGTGCAGCCCCAAGAGTTTGTAACACCGCGAATTATTGGTCCTATATATTTACTCCTGAACGAAGTTGATAGTATATCCAAGATGAGTGGTTTACCTTTAAATTGATACCAATTATATGGTCGTATGTACTCGGATATGAGAGTTACACGTAAATATTTTCAGGAGCTTACGTATTCATATATTATTTAGTAACATATTGCCACAATAGAGGGGGAAATATAGCGCTCATCGCTTTGAAATTTTCCTTGAGGATCCAGGTATGGTCAAGGACAACGCCTATAATTTCTGTGATGATCAGATTAAAAATTTGGGATGAAGTGGACCCAAAATTATTTTTTTTGTATTTTTTCGAGTCGATCTATAGGCTACAAAATCGAAAATCACAACACACGGTGAAGTGAATCTGGACAAGTAATTAGAAGGGCTGCACAGAATATTGGGATATTCGGAAAATATGTCAATGTAAGGAAGAGGTGCTGTTGATCTCTAATCGGCCAAGGGGTAATATATCACGAAATATTGATCAGGCTCGAAATAAACATAAGCAAAAGTTAAAGTTCTGTGGTAGTTGTGTAGGGTATCATATGGTCGGCCCCGTCCGACTATACTGCTCCGCTCACTGGTTTTATATATTATTGTACAATGACGTAGAACGTATATTTTTATAATTCTAATTATTTAATTAAAAAATATATCACACCTACCCTTTCATATTTTATTTACAAAGGTTGTGAAAAGTCCCGAGAATTACCGGGAATGAAAAAAAGTCGGGAATTCCCAAACCCTATTTACTACCGAACCACTTGACTACCGAACCATAGACTTATGGCAAATGAGGGTATATACACTTTGATACGGTAAAAATGTGCCTCATCGACATGTTGATATCAGACTCCATGTTTCTTTGTTTCCGTTGAAGACAATTTGGAGTCGTCATACAAATGTCCGTCTGTTTGTTTGGACGGCTGGTGTGCACGATTACTATCGGAGAGAGTATCCGATTTCATCCAAAATTTGTACATCGTAATATTATATTTCTATCAAACTTAGTACAAGTTCATGGTCCACTCATTCTGGTACCTCCGCCACAAATGGTCAACATTTTCAATATTTATAAATCCAATATCAGGCGAATGGATTATCCAAATGTCTTTACCAAGCCTAGATCAAGTCCGAAGTTGGGACTCATCTGTCCTCCCTCCCACAAAATCGCTCTATATTATATAAACTTGTAAATTTTATTTGAAGCAAATTTGATCAACATTAAATCCGAAACCTCTTAAATAAAACATATACCTTATATAAACAGTTTAATAAAACCTCTGTGTACCTCCACAACCCATTGGCTGGGGGTATATATCTAGCGCCAACACCGACTGACACTTTTTTATATCCTTCACCACACTGTGGTACAGGGTATTATGTCGTTGTGCATATGTTTGCAACAGGCGAAAGAAACCGAGATATACACATGGTTCATTTTCAGAATATGCATAGAATCACTTTCTGAGTCGATTTATGCATGTCCGTCCCTCTGCCTGTCTGTTCATGTTAAATTGTAAATGAAGTAAACGTCGCATTTATATTTTCGCCCGGTTTAATGCAAATGGTGTACCAAAGTCCCAATATGTCTTTCGATTTGCACGAAATTTAGCATAGCCTGCTGAATTAAGTCTAGAATGTTGTGTGTTAAGCTTCGTGTTCGGTTCAGATTAAGATATAGGTCCCATATATATTTTCTACCGATATATGTAAATGTTATGGACTATATACTCAAAGTTTGTCCGATTGGCACACACTTTTGTACAATGTACCGAAGTAAATATAACTTAATCTCTGGCAAGTTTCGTTGAAATTGGTTCAGATATAACTACCATTCCGATTGATATTTAATTGTGAACAGTGCGGTATACCGAATAGCGTGTATCAAGTTTGCTTTAAAAAAAAACAATTCTAAAACTGCCCGAATGAACATAGGTTGAAGAACATTTAAGTTCGTCCAATTTTATTTTAATGTTCCTTCAAAAATGCGACGTTTGTTAGGATACATATGTAGAATATATCCAAAGCGGTGAAGGGTATCATATAGTCGACTTTACTACTTTCCTTACTGGTTATTCTTGTTTTTATATTACAACAACTACTTCTATGGAAAATGGAGTCCCTGGTCCCTATGCGCATTATCCAACCCATGTGGCTTCTTTGTTGTAAATTTTCAATGGGTTGGTACAGGGCTCATATAAAGATGCTAAGCCTATTTACCGTATTTTAAAGCCCTACTGAATTTTCCAGCCTGTAAATTGGTATTTCGTGTTCTAAGAGCATACAAATCCTCCGGCTAATTTTAGATTTTTTTTTTAATATCGTAGGGCAAACATAACGATATATATCCTGGTTCAGTATCTTTATTTCCTATACCTCAGCCTTGGGACTAATACGACAAAAATATGATTTATCATATATCGGGTTTAGGCCGAATCCGTTGCAGACAATTTGGTGCCGATTTTAAAATGCCGATGGGCAGTTCTAATATTTTTGTCCAAAAATCCACATTTCTGTTTGGTCTTTGAAAAATATTAAATTTATGCTTTGTTGGGTACTTCTCTATAGTCTTTGAAAAAATATTGCCTCAGATTGAAAAAATATTGCCTCAATATTGCCTCTATAGTCTTTGAGAAAATATTGCCTCAGATTTTGTAACATAAATACGCTTCTGTTTGTTTTTTACTTGAAAAAAAATTGAAAATCCATTTTTCTGTTTGGTCATTGAAAAAAACATTTTTTTTTTTAATCAGTTCCCCTTTGGTTCCTTGAAAAAATGTTTGCTAAAAATCCACACGCTATTTTTGCCCTTGAAAGAAATATTTTCGAACAATCCACGGTTCTGCTTGCTCCATGAAAGCAATATTTTCCAAAATCCTCAAAACCATTTTTCTGGTCTATGACGAAAATATTTTCTAAAATCCTCAGATCCATGTTTCTGGTCCATGACAAAAATATTTTCTAAAAATCTACGTTTCTCTTTTGAAAAAATGAAGTTTGTTTACTCATTTTTAATTTATATATGTTTGATGATACACCAAGGACGCTTTTTGTCCGATAGACACAAATTATATTATAAATAAACACGTTCCGATAATTTCAGATATAGCTTTCATATATGAAGAATTCTATAAGTACCACCTTTTCCGTCCTTGTATTTTTTATATTTATTCTCCTTTTATTTAAGTCGATGCTTCATAACAAAAAGTTGTACCAGTTTCTTGCCAAAGTGTAACCATAAGGCTTCCTACTTAACAGCTACGTCAGATTTGCATATGCCACCAATCTCACCCACAATCTCATAAAAATTTCAACAACAAGATAATGATCAACATTTGTTTCCCTCGTCAATTTTCCTTGAAGTGACATCCTTACCGAATGACGTTGTAATATTTACTATTCGATTAAAAACTACTTTATTTAACGACACAGTTTCTTTATGTGATTTTAACTACGTTCTTGTTTTTTGTTTCTTCCTGCCTTCCTGCCTTCCTTTCATTGCAGCTAAAAAATCAAAATGCACGAAAAAAGTCACAACATGACCGAGGAATACATGACCGCAGCAAGGATATCAATACGCATAGTGTGACAACAAATGACATGTCATTAAATAACTATACCAAGCATCCATAGGCTGGTGGACAAGTGGTGGACGGACGATCGATGCAAAGGATGATATGGAGTAATAAAAAAACACAAGCAACGAAACAACGATGGAGTCGAAGGAGGAGAAACATTTTTTGAATTGACAAATGTGAATGCAATTACTGTGGGCGAAAAAAAAGAGATGCGGCAACACGAACACCATACGTTCATTATGTATCATAATCATTCATTCGGACAACACAGGACAACAGAATAAGAAGAAGCAGAAGAATATTGGCAGGACATGTAAACACATGGCGAAACATATATACACAGTAAGTCATCCACACTCACACATATATAGATTTTTTTGCGGGAGGGAATCATATGCATCAAAAGTAGCATCGACAAAAAACATTTGCAACATGATTTCAGTGTGGTTGTGTGTTGTTGCACACAGATATGATGTTGCAACATCATCATCATAAGTAAAGAAACCATATATCGGTGGCATCAGCATAGATATCCGTTCCAGAGACAAAATCAATAAAATCCTTATAGGACAACATCGAACAACCAAACGAATGAGCTCATCCGATCATTCGACGTATGAACCGATGATTGAGTTGTTGCTGTTGTTTGCTTGATTTGTTATAACTATGATATGTTTTCAGTTTATCCAACCATTTCCTTCCGTCCGTCCTACCATCCATCCTTCCGAGTGCCACCTATCCTTTCCGACCAATGCAATATATGCGTAAAACGCACTACCTCCAACACATCCAAAGGGTAGTGTCAATGACTGAAACTGTCCAGCATCCTACACAGTCGCTCCACAATGTTTTGATCCACACTATAAATTTATGTTTTTCTTTTCTCGATCTGTTCAGTGAGGCTTTTGAGGGCCGAGAAAATCTTGAAATGCTTTTACGTGTGTGTGTGTGTGTGTGTATGCAACAGTTTGTGTGGTCGTAATAATTTCATTGCATAATCTCATCGAAAATTGAATGTCTGTTGCTGTTATTTATCGACTTAACTGTCTGCCTACCACACCACACAGGCCTGAATGCAGGACGAAGATTTGGATGCTTTTGATAACCGCAAATTTACAATGTTGTTCAGGTTAGGGCACTGTAGTTTGGATTGGAAAATATGCAGAGAAAATATTGGAAGACGGGTCAAAAGGTCCTTGACAAAAATATTCTTTAAAAAATCCACACTTATTGGTCGAGAGGTCCTTGACAAAAATATTCTTTAAAAAATCCACACTTATTGGTCGAGAGGTCCTTGACAAAAATATTCTTTAAAACATCCACGCTTATTGGTCGAGAAGTCCTTGACAAAAATATTCTTTAAAAATACACGCTCATTGGTCTTTCGACCAATGAGTCCTTGAAAATATATTCTTTAACAAATCCACGCCTATTAGTCAAAAAGTCCTTGAAAAAATATTCTTTAAAAATCCACGCTTATTGGTCTAAAAGTCCTTGAAAAAATATTCTTTAAAAATCCACGCTTATTGGTCAAAAGGTCCTTGAAAAAATATTCTTTAAAAATACACGCTCATTGGTCGAAAGGTCCTTAAAAATATATTCTTTAACAAATCCACGCCTATTAGTCAAAGGGTCCTTGAAAAAATATTCTTTAAAATTACCACGCCTATTAGTCAAAAGGTCCTTGAAAAAATATTCTTTAGAAAATCCACGCCTATTGGTCAAAAGGTCCTTGAAAAAATATTCGTTAAAAAATCCACACTTATTGGTCGAGAGGTCCTTGACAAAAATATTCTTTAAAACATCCACGCTTATTGGTCGAGAAGTCCTTGACAAAAATATTCTTTAAAAATACACGCTCATTGGTCTTTCGACCAATGAGTCCTTGAAAATATATTCTTTAAAAATCCACGCTTATTGGTCTAAAAGTCCTTGAAAAAATATTCTTTAAAAATCCACGCTTATTGGTCAAAAGGTCCTTGAAAAAATATTCTTTAAAAATACACGCTCATTGGTCGAAAGGTCCTTAAAAATATATTCTTTAACAAATCCACGCCTATTAGTCAAAGGGTCCTTGAAAAAATATTCTTTAAAAATACCACGCCTATTAGTCAAAAGGTCCTTGAAAAAATATTCTTTAAAAAATCCACGCCTATTGGTCAAAAGGTGCTTGAAAAAATATTCTTTAAAAAATCCACGCCTATTTGTCAAACGGTCCTTGAAAAAATATTCTTTAAAAAATCCACGCTTATTGGTCGAAAGGTCCTTGACAAAAATATTCTTTAAAAAATCCACGCTCATTGGTCTTTCGACCAATCGAGATGTCCTTGAAAAAAAATCTTTTAAAAATCCACGCCTATTGGTCGAAAGGTCCTTGAAAAAATATTCTTTAAAAAATCCACGCTTATTGGTCGAGATGTCCTTGAAAAAAAAATCTTTTAAAAATCCACGCCTATTGGTCAAAAGGTCCTTGAAAAAATATTCTTTAAAAAATCCACGCTTATTGGTCGAGATGTCCTTGAAAAAAAAAATCTTTTAAAAATCCACGCCTATTGGTCAAAAGGTCCTTGAAAAAATATTCGTTAAAAAATCCACGCCTATTTGTCAAACGGTCCTTGAAAAAATATTCTTTAAAAAATCCACGCCTATTGGTCAAAAGGTCCTTGAAAAAATATTCTTTAAAAAATCCACGCCTATTGGTCAAAAGGTCATTGAAAAAATATTTTCTAAAAAATCCACGCCTATTGGCCAAAAGGTCCTTGAAAAAATATTCTTTAAAAAATCCACGCCTATTGGTCAAAAGGTCCTTGAAAAAATATTTTTTAAAAAATCCACGCCCTTGGTAGGCTTTTAAAAAATATTCTTTAAAAATCCACGCTTATTGGTCTAAAGTTCCTTGAAAAAATATTCTTTAAAAAATCCACGCTTATTGGTCTAAAGGTCCTTGACAAAAATATTCATTAAAAAATCCACGCTTATTGGTCTAAAGGTCCTTGACAAAAATATTCTTTAAAAAATCCACGCTTATTGGTCGAGAGGTCCTTGGAAAATATTATTTTTAAAATTCCTCACCTAAAAAAATATTATATATAGTGTTACCACACTGTTTTTCCTCTACTCAATCCATGTTACTACCCACACATTTTTAGCCATATAGTATGCGGGCCAGGGTTGTGCATGTAAATTAAGTCGAAATGTGGTTGTATGCAAGAGCAAGTAGGCATTATAGGTACCCCGCATAAATATTCCAGACAGCTAGAAAGCAGGCACAACCATCGATAGCAAATACTAACACCGCCGCCGCCAGCCATGGTTGTATGGCCACGATTTGCTGTGTAAAATTCCACCAGCCAGCCAGGCAAGCAACCAACCTAACGACCGACCAGCCAACCATCCAACCAGCAAACAGCAGAAGCGGCAATAGCAGCAGCAACAATAACGCATTATCAGCAATTGCATCAAAGCTATTTGAGTTCTATTTGCAAATTTTAATTGCATCCATGTACAATGGCTGTTTGGAACTTTAATGATGCATCAATGGGTATATAAACATACAAACAAACAAATGCACGGTTTTGCAATAACAACAACAAAATATATGGGGCATTGCATGGGAGATGGAGAAGAGGAGCAAGAATATATGATATGACACAAACTATAGCTCCTGCATATTGCCTCTGAAGATAACTAAGTGCTCTCCGTACCACTATATCGTCAACAAAGGATCCATACCTTAAGTAATTCAATAGATACGCCCCTTCACGCCTTTAATGTCTGGCTCGTGAGTCACTCTATTAGCCAAGGGAGACTCCTAGCCTTATGTTAATCTACAAAGATTTTTTCCCTCAGTCAGCCTATGAATACTCACATCTATACCGACTATCCACCTTTCTCTCCGATGATCCAATAACGACCCTTTTAGTCTATATAGTATCCATGACCCTTCCACTTCCACCTAGACCTTCAGAGCCTTCCTGATTCTTCAGCTGATATATTAAAACTTCTGTTCTTCGAGGTTTCCTAAAAAACTTCAAGGCCGTCAACTCGACAATAGGAAGTTCCTGACCCTTAAAATGGTTTCTACAGGCTTCATGACCTGTTTTCTATAACCCGTGCTCCTAGGTTTTCAGATTGTTTATAGGGACAGCATGGCCTTCATCTCGTCTTCTGGTATCCCCTAGCCCTTCAGCTCAACTATAGAGACTCCCTGACTTTCTGTCTCCTTGAGAGGTTTGTCCTTCAGCTCCCTTCAATTTGGCTATAAAGGCATACATATCATATATTTACTCCTTGGCATATATCTATGTAGTCGACTCTATACTCCTGGATCTTCTTCTATGTGGACCTATGTACACTCTTTGCCATTCAGCTCCCTTCAATTTGGCTATAAAGGCATACATATCATATATTTACTCCTTGGCATTAAGCTATATATTCCCCCTGTGTTTAGCTAGAGACTCCGTTCCTTTCAGCTCGTGTGAAAACATTCCCAGCTTTGCTATAAGAATTAGAATAACAACATCTCACCCTTCACCTCATCTGTATATGCTCCATGGCAAGATCATATTGTCTGTGTAGCTTCAACTATATTGACTTTGTGGTCAATCAGCTTGTTGTTTGAGCTCTCTGGCACCTGTAGGAACTCATTAACTTGTAAACTGGTCTAATCAGACTCAATGACCTTAAATTTGTCTGCCTTGTCCTGACCTCTGGCTTCCAGCCGTTCTATAAACCCTGTTTGTCCTCCAGCTCGTCTATATAGACCGACTGACCTTTAAGCTCGTCTATACCGACACTCCTGCCCTTGCAATCGTTCATTAGCCTCTCAGTACCTCAGCATATCTTTACAGGCTACTCGATAACCATGCATTTGCCTTCAGACTTTGTGTTCCTTCAGCTTATTTCTAGAGCTCACTGGCATTCGGCTCATATGCACGAACTAACTGACTTTTCAGCTGGTCCTCGAGCCGTTCTATAAATACTCTTTATCCTGCAGCTCGTCCATATATACCGACAGGATGTTTTTTTCCGTCTACAGACTCCCTAGGATTATAT